TTATATTTAAATATAAAATTGAGATGCAACGTAAACTGGCATACTTATTGATAGAACAGATTATAAGGTAGTAAAAATCTAATAGGATAGAATAAAAAACACAGCACAAGAAGATCTTGCTGCGAAATTATGAGATAAATTTACTGGCATGCTGTCGGCATACTGCCAACATTTTGCTATGTAGGGTAAAGCAATTGTGAAGCAACACACAGTAACAGACTACGAAGGTAGAAAACAAAAGGTTTCAAGTTTAAATCCTGATTGGCTCTGTCAATTTTTCCGTTTACCCCTCTGCTGTCCAAAATTTCCTTCCGTATCTTTCCTCCACCCTCACTACACTCCTTGTTTTCTCGTATATTTCTATGATTCTTTTTCCCAACCTCTCACTCACCCCTGGTTTTTTCAGACATCTTCCCAAAACCCTCCTGTCCACTGAATCAAATGCCGCCCTTGGATCTACAAAAGCAGCCACTATCTTCATTTTTCTCTTTAATCGCTTCCCTATCGCATAATTCAGTGTGTAAATGTTGTCCACCACTCCTCTCCTCTTCCTAAACCCTGCTTGGCTTTCTGGAACATCCCCTTCTCCACCATCTCTTCCCTCAATCTATTTGTTGATATCGACGCGTACACTTTGTACGCCGTCGGCATCAGTGTAATCCCTCTATACTCACTCACCTCTTTTGCCCCTCTTTTTCGCTATCGGAACGACTACTCCGTCCTTCCACGCTTCTGGAAAACTCTCTCCTTTTCATACTTTCCCTTAACGCCTTTCTTAAACCACTTCCCCCATAACTCCACATTTCAATTCCTAACTCGTCCTCTCCCGCCGCTTTACCTTTTTTCAGCTTTTTCAGCACTCTCTCTACTTCCTCCCATCCTATCTCCTTCTCTTCCCCTTCCGCTCCCTGCTCTCTCTCTTCTCCTTCTCCTAGCCTTCGCTTGTATTCCGTTCCTTCTAACATCTCCCTAAAGTATTTAACCCATTCCTCTAATGTTATCTTCTTATTAATTTCTACCCTTCTTCTCCTTTCCTTGTTTATTACTTCCCACACCTGCTTCTCTGTTCTCGCCTCTCTTGCCTCTTTCAGCAGATCTCTCTTTTTTCTTCCTTTTTCCTCACACTTTTCCTTATACTTCTTTCTTCTTTTATGATCTTCTTTGTGTTTTCTTCCTCTTTTCCAGTCTCTTAATAATTTTTATATCTCCTCCTTTTTCTTTCTACAGTCCCCATTCCACCATACTCCCTTTTCTTCTGCTTCTCTTTTTATTCTTTTCACTCTTACTTCCATCTTAATTCTTTTTGTCAACTTTTCGACCTCTTTATCTATTGCCCCCCTACCTATTTCTACCTCCTCCGTCCTTCTTCAAAACTCCTCTCTTGCCTCTTCTGACTAATCCGTCTTTTCCACCCACCTCTCTTTCTCCGCTATTGTCCCTCTCCTCTCACCACTACCCCCTTTGTTCAACCGTACTGCTACTGATTGGTGATCCGAATCTACCTCACACCTTACCTGTAATCTTGTCACTATTTTCCAAGCTTTTCTATCTCCTATTGCGTAATTGATCACTGTTTCCTCCCTTTCCCTGTAAAAGTCGCCTCCCCCTCCTCACCTCCCTCCTTTGCTCCGTTCATAATTTTCCACCCTTCCTTTTCCACCCATCTAATCAGCCCTTCCTCTTACCTATTTATTATTTTATTTTTCGATTTTCTTTCAGCTCCCTCTTCTCTATCCTCCAGCGCTCCATTCTCCCCTGTTTTCGCATTGAAATCGCCCCCACTATCTATCTCTCCTCTCTCCCTTCCTCCTCTTTTACCGATTTCATCTTACCCATCATCTTGTCCAAGTTGCGCTTACGTAAACTGTTGCCAATCTCCATTTCTCCTTCTTCCATCTTACTTCTCTAATCATTAAACCCTCTTCCTCCACCCATTCTTCTTCTTTTTCTAACCCTTCTCTGACTTCCATCATTATTCCACCTATTGCTTTTCCTTTTCTTCCAACTCTTTTTTTCTTTGCACCCTGTATACTCCATAACTTCTTTGGCACCCTATTCTTCATCTTCTCCCACTCCTCCCGTTCCAGCCACGTTTCCACCAACCCCGACATTCCACTCTTTTATCCTTTCCCAAAACTCTTCCTGTTTTTCCTTCACTCCTAGTCCAGTCAAATTAGACATTTGAACTCGGAAGTAAAGCGGTATCAATGAAACCTTTTTTAGGGTTGTTGGGGGGATGTAGAAGAGCTTATTTCTGAGTTGTCGGGTCAATCGGACCGATGGGTTTTTAAGGGGGGGAAGGGGAATGAAAAATTTTGTTTTTTCGCAATAACTCGGCGAATTTTGACCGTACATGATTAACTAACCTCTCATTTTGTAGCTCTTTTAAAGCCCTACAATTCATTTCCTGAAGACCCTAACTTAAAATCAATATTTGTCGAGTTCTAGCCGGTAAAAGTGGGAAAAAATTTATTTTGTCGTGGTTTTTTGCGTACACGTTATCGCCGCCTAATGGCTCGTTGCATATAAAACACTCGCTCATGTTACAATTTTTCATTAACTTTATACTCGAAAAGAGAGATAAGCGAAATACGCGCCGAGTCCCGAGCGCACTCGACTTGACGCGCGCCGCCGCGGCGACGATCGGCCACGCGTTAAAAGCACGACTTCCAGAGGCTTTCCTGGACTCAATTTTTAACGAATCTGAACGATTGACCTCTCGTTTTGTAGGTCTCTTCAAGCCCTACAACTTTGTCAGTGGCGGCACATTTCTATCTATTAATGGAAACGAGATAAACGCAAAAAACCGCGACAAAATACATTTTTTTCCACTTTTACCGGCTAGAACTCGACAAATATTGATTTTAAGTTAAGGTCTTCAGGAAATGAATTGTAGGGCTTTAAAAGAGCTACAAAATGAGAGGTTAGTCAATCATGTACGGTCAAAATTCGCCGAGTTATTGCAAAAAAACGAAATTTTTCATTCCCCTTCCCCCCCATCGGTCCGATTGACACGACAACTCAGAAATGAGCTCTTCTACATCCCCCCAACAACCCTAAAAAGGTTTCATTGATACCGCTTCACTTCCGAGCAAAAGCCTTTTTTTGTCTAATTTGACTGGACTATCCCGTTACATTCCAAAAATTTATCTTTAGGCTTTCTTCCTGTTCCTTCCTTTTTTCCTCCCTCTTTAATTCTTTTCTTCCCCCTTCTCTTTTTCTCTCCTTTTTTTCCTCTTTTTCACTCCTTTTTACTTTCCCCACTTTACTCTCTCTGACTCCTTTCCCCCTCCTCCCCTCAGCCTCACCACACTCCCTTTTTTTCTACTTTCCCTCTCCTCCCTCTTCTCTCCACCCTACCCTCCCATCGTTTTTCCTCCCTTCTCACTATCCTCTCTTTTCATTTTTCCGTCTCCCTCTTTTCTACTTTTTCTCTCTTCCTCTGTTCTTTTTTCTCCCCCCTCCTTCTTCTTGTTCCTCTTTCTCATTTTCCCTTCCATCTGTCAGGACTTCTTTTTCCTCATCCCAACTCCACCACTTCCCCTCTGTTGACGATTGTACCGCCAGAACGGCGTTAGTAAGAAGTAGTATTAAGCAATATGGCGAAATAAGGAAGGGTAACGGAATAAAGCTCTGTTTAATTTGACTGGATTTTCTGTGTATCCGTTCCTCAACATAATTTTGGCGCCCAACCAACGTGACACGATCCCATGAGAAATGGGTTGTCGCGAGATAGAGACCGGGAAATAGTGAAAGTGTCCTGTAATCTCGAGGAAAGTAAACGGCGGGACGAACACGTCGTAGCGCAGCAGGACAAGATGGCTACCGACAAGGACATCGAACAGCCACGCAAGTGAACACTCGGTTACGAGAAAAGTGACAAGAGTGCAAGGTTTGCCGGAACGGAGGCGAGATCCGTTAATGACATAGTGCAAGATCGGGGCGGCGATCATCGCGCGTCGAGTGATCCCGCGTATCGTTGAGCTCGCGAAACGGGATTGGAAGTGTCCTCGGTCGGGGGATTTTTTATCGGGAAAGTGCTGTAGCTCGTCGCAGACAGCGAGAGTGAAGCACATCGCACGCCGAGTGTCCGCATCGGGACGCTCGCATCATCATAACCGTCTTCGCACGTTGAAGTCCGCATCGGGATGCTCACGTCATTGTGATTGGCTCGCGCAAATCGAGAGTCGAATCGAGAATCGATCGTGACGCTGGCATAGGGATAACTCGATCACATCGAGATCCGGTCGAAGCGCTCACATAGTAACATTGTCATACAACGGGCGTCCGCATCGGGTCGCTCGGATCGTGGAGAGTCCGATCGAGTCGTCGCAACGGAACGTGTAATCTGAGTATTCGCACTGAAGAATAACCTCGCCACGTTGAGATATCGAGTCGCGAGTGTCCGTGAAAACGTACGTCGCGGGTGCTCGAGGACTATTTCGCAAAGGAAAGATTGAAGCCGCGATCGCGAGAGGCACACGTTGCAAGCGCATGCACGTCGCGAGTGTCGGGAAGCGTTTCGCGGGCGCAGAGACATCTCGTATCTCGTACACGGCGAGATTAGCGAGACGCAAGTGATCCGCGTCGTAAGTGTCGTGGAAACGCATCGCGAGTGGACACGCGTCGCCAGTGAACGGGGCATAGCTCGCTCACGCCGAGAGTCGCACGTCGCGAGTGTCGGGAAGCACCTTGCGGGGCGGAGACAATCGTATCTCGCACACGACGAGATTTGCGCGTCGCGAGTGAACACGCGTCGCCAGTGATCAGGGCATAGCTCGTATAGCTATATCGCGTCTCGCTCACGCCGAAAGGGACACGTCGCGAGTGATACACGTCGGGCGTGTCGTGGAAACGCATCGCAAGTGCGCAGAGGCATTCAAGCCAGCCAACCGGGAAGTAACGTTTCGAGTGCGTAAACGCGTTCATCGCGAGAGATCACAAACGCGTACGTCGCGAGATTCGAGGACTCACATCGAGTACAAAGCAAGAGAACAAAAATGGCAGACGTAAGAAGATTAAAGCAGAATCGAGCTACGATAAAGGGTCAGATGACTCGAATAAATAATACTGTCGATGAAAATACGTCAGTTGCCGAAGCAAAGGTCAAGTCGACGAAAATCGAAAGCTTGTGGGAGGCTTTCCAAGAAGTTCAGAAAAAGATTGACGACGCAAGATTAGAAGGAATCGAAGTCGCCGCAGATGAAGAAGTGCTGCCTACCGCAGAGCAAGAGGCAGAACGACAGATTTTTGAAAATATCTATTTCGAAGCAGCAACGAAGATCCAAATGGTGATCGATACAGCACAAGCCGCTAATCAGGTACAAGCTCAGGTCGCAAGGGCAGAGCCACAAAACGAAGACGGAAGGCGCGGACAGGGCGAACGGCGAATGGAGGTCAAGCTGCCAACGTTGAAACTTCCCGAGTTCAGTGGCAATTACAATGAATGGCTCTTATTTAAGGATGCGTTCACATCATTGATTCATGAGAACGACACACTCACCGAAATACAGAAGTATCAATATCTGCGAAGTTCCGTGACAGGTGAAGCGTTTCAGGTAATCGGAGGCTTGGCCACGACTGCAGCAAACTACGAAAATGCATGGGATCTTCTTCTAAACAATTATGAACATCCGAGGCTTCTAATTAACACACACTTGAGTCAATTGCTTGATTTTCCAGCCGTATCAAAGGACAAACCAGCAACAATGCGTCAACTGATCGTTCACGTCAGAACGCACTTAAAGACTTTAGAGACACTAGAGCTTCCGGTTGATAAGTGGGACGAGCTTCTCATACACCTGTTAAAGAATAGGATGGATTACAATACACAGAAGAGTTGGGAAGAAGAAACCAAAAAAGACAAGGAAAATCGGCCTACGTTGGAGAACTTTCTGACTTTTCTCAATGAGCAAGTACGAACGCTTGAGATAATTGACAAGACCAAGGGAAAGTCGGAAGCATCAAAGACGCCAGCAGGGAAAAAACAAGAAAGAAAAGTAGCTTTGGCAACCACCTCTCAAGAAGGTTGTGTCCTCTGCAGCAAGAATCATCAGTTGTACCGATGCCCGGATTTTCTGCAGCTATCGAGTGCTGACAGATTAAAGGAGGTGAAAGCGAAGAAACTGTGTATGAACTGCTTAAGCAAAGGACACTTTTCCGCGGCTTGCAAATTTTCAGCATGCCGGAGGTGCCAGAAGAAGCACAATACCCTGTTGCATCCAGAGCAAGAAGAGAAGACTGCAACCGATAAAAAGTCCAGAAGAGGACGCGTCCAAGAAGGCAGTGGTAATGCACGGCACTCAAGAAACCTTGCAAGATACTGAAGAGTCATCTTCTGTAATCAACCTTGGAAGAAAACCCACGTCGTGCGTGGTGCTGTCAACGGCCCGAGTTATAGTCCATGACGTCAATGGAGGCCAGCACAAATGCCGTGCACTTCTAGATGCAGGGTCGCAATCCAATTTGATCACCCAGGAACTCATCGACAGGCTCAGATTGAAATGTAAAAGGAGAGACGAAGTCATCAGTGGGATCAACCGATTACAAACCAATGTCGGTAAGACAGTAGAAGTAAAAATCCGATCGATGAACGCGGATTATGAGGTAGCCATAGAATGTCTCGTGCTGCCTGCCATTACTGAAAGACTTCCTCAAGTCAAAATCAATACTAAACTGATTTGCTTGCCGGAGAGTTTGAGCCTAGCAGATCCTGATTTCCACACGCCAGGAACAGTGGATATTCTAATAGGAGCAGGACTTTTCTGGCAATTAATCTGCAAGGATTATATTCAAAGACCAAAGGGAATACCCAGATTACAACGTACGTTGCTAGGATGGATTGTAGGAGGGGAGCTTCTCGACGCCAGCTCAGAAACTCCAAGAAGCTTCTGCGGTCTCATCACAAATGCGCAACTCCAAGCGCAGTTAGAACGCTTTTGGAAGCAAGAGGAGACGCTCGAAAAACGGAGTCTCACCCAAGAAGAGATTGAGTGTGAACGGCAGTTCCATGAGTCGGTCAAGCGAGATGAAACTGGTAGGTTCATCGTAACACTTCCGAAGAAACCCGGAGTGAAACTCGGCGATCCAGGAAATCAAGCATTGCAGCGATTATATTCCCTAGAAAGAAGATTCAGAGGAGATCCAGCATTGAAGAATGCGTATGTTCAATTCATGGAAGACTATGAAACTCGAGGCCACATGTCGTTAATGGGACCAGGCCCAGATACGAGCACAAAGGTAGAGCAATCGTACATACTTCCGCATCATCCGGTGATTAAACCGGACAGCACCACAACTAAGTTACGTGTTGTATTCAACGCCTCAGCGAAGACATCGTTGGGAACCTCGTTAAACGACAAGTTATTCGCCGGTCCAAACAAGCAGAAGAGCCTGTTCTGCATAGTCTTACGCTTTCGATCACACCCCTTTGTCATAACGGCGGACATAGCTGCAATGTTCCGACAGATACTCGTGTGCGAAGAAGACCGAGATTTACAACTGATTCTGTGGAGATCAGATCCATCGCAACCAGTTCAGATCTTTAGGATGAACACGGTGACATATGGCACCGCATGTGCACCTTATTTAGCCCTCAGCTGTTTGGAGAGATTAGCGATAGAAGAACTGGAAAGGTTTCTAAAGGCAACCTTGACGGTCGAAGAGATGAAGATGTTTCTCGAAATAAGGTTGAAGATCGAAGAGCTGAAGAAGTTCCTAAAAGAAGCATTGGACAATAAGAAATCGGAGTTTCTACAAGCAATCCTGGTCTTGCTAGAAGATTTCTACATGGACGATGTTTTGTCTGGCGCAAGTACCATAGAAGGGGCCATAGCCTTGCGACAGCAGCTGTTGGAGTTATTGCAACGGGGACAGTTTCAGCTGCGGAAGTGGCGTTCCAATGATCCACGTATATTGGAGGAACAACCCGAGTCCAACGACGATAACAGCTTCCTCAAAATAGACAAGGAGGGTGCCATGAAAACGTTGGGACTTTTATGGGATGCCCAGTCAGATGTTCTGCAATACAGCGTGTCGATAGAAGAGAATTCAAGGGTTACCAAGCGTCTGGTGCTATCTCAGATAGCTCAAATATATGACCCCCTTGGCTTGCTGGGACCCGTTGTCATCATTGCGAAATGTATTATGCAGTCTCTATGGCAAATCAAAACTGGTTGGGATGAAGTTCTCCCAACGGAGTTAGAAGCTACATGGAAGGAGTACTATAGATCGCTGCCGCAAACCAACGAGATGAAGATTCCGAGAAACATCAATCCGGGAAATGTGAGCAATCAGTTCGATCTCGTAGGCTTTGGAGATGCCTCAGAAAAGGCATATGGAGCCGTGCTGTATGCTGTTTCACAAAGATCAGGAGGTACCTTACAAGCGCATTTGATTTGTTCGAAAAGCAGAGTCGCACCTTTGAAGACTATATCACTACCAAGACTGGAGCTTGATGCGGCGCTGCTGTTGACTAAACTGACCGAACAGGCAAGAAAGGTTTATGGTGACAGGATTCAAAACGTGTCTTTATTTAGCGATTCGACGGTCGTTCTCAATTGGATAGCAGTCACCTAACATTAGGAAGACGTATGTGGCAAATAGAATCACCAAGATTCAACTTCTTTCACAAGGTGTGACATGGCGTCATGTTCCGTCCAAGGATAATCCGGCAGATCTTCTTTCCAGAGGCATGTCAGTGGAAATGTGGAGGACCAGTCAGTTATGGTGGCAAGGGCCTGAGTGGCTCGTCACCGATCAATGGCCTGAACAACCAGAAATCTTAGGCGATACGTCCGAGATGAAGATCACTGCACTAATCGCCACCAGAAACGAGAAGTACGACATCCTACGAAGATTTTCAGACTATGGGAAGCTTCAACGCATAGTCGCTTATTGTCTGCGTTTTAAGGCAAATTTACTTGGCGCAAAAAAAGAGTGGCCCTTTAACGCCAGCCGAAATAGAGCAAGCGGAAACTATCATATTGAAGACTGTCCAGCGAGAAGTTTTCCTGAAGGAGATGCGGGCTCTCGAACAGCAGCAATCGATTCCCAAGGGTAGTAAGTTGTCGTCCCTCAGTCCTATCTTGGATCAGGAGGGAGTCATAAGGGTAGGTGGTCGGTTATCACAGGCCGACATTCCCGAAACTCAGAAGCATCCAATATTGTTGCCAGCCAAGCACCACGTTACAACTATCCTCATGAGGAAGGAGCATCTCAGGCTTCACCATTGCGGCCCGGAGCAGTTGCTCTACTCAACACGTGTAAAGTATTGGCCTTTAAGTGGACGACGAGAAGCAAACAAGATTACGAAGAGTTGCATAAAATGCTTTCGAGCTAAACCAAGGACACCTGAGGTCTTCATGGGAGATCTTCCTGAGGATCGAGTCCGTCATAACACGAGACCATTCACCACGTAGACTACGCCGGGCCATTGCAGGTACGAGAGAGTCGCAGGCGGGGAAGGATTCACATCTCGAAGGCCTGGATCGCCGTGTTTACCTGTTTTGCCACTAAGGCCGTGCACATAGAGCTAGTGACGGAGTTAACTACCGAGTCATTTCTAGCTGCATTAAGAAGGTTTGTGGCGAGAAGAGGAATTTGCTCGAAGATCGTGTCCGACAACGGCACTAATTTTGTCGGAGCTGCGAGAGAGCTAGCAGAAGTATACGAGTTTCTTCGGAAGGAGAAAGAAGCCATAGCCACATACTTGGCTCGTCAGAAAATCGAATGGAGGTTTATTCCTCCTCGATCTCCACATTTTGGAAGTCTTTGGGAGGCCGCTGTCAAGGCTACCAAGCGTCACGAAGGGTCTGGTTTGGACGTTTGAGGAATACGCAACGCTGCTCGTGGAGATAGAAGCAATCCTGAATTCAAGGCCTCTCACTCCCTTTTCCAGTGATCCTAACGATTTATTGGCATTAACCCCATCTCATTTCCTTACAGGGGATTCATTGTTGTTTCCACCAGAGTATAGTTATATGAAAGTCCCGGATAACAAGCTGTCACGATGGCAGCATGCTCAGAAATTACGCCAGCATTTCTGGAAGCGTTGGCAGGAGGAATACCTCCAAGAGCTGCAAAAGCGTCATAAGTGGCGTAATAAGGGCAAGGATCTCGAGGTCGGTACTCTAGTCATTCTGAAGGAGGACAATACACCCCCTCTACAGTGGGTCCTAGGCCGAGTGGAGGAAGTTCATCCTGGCAAGGACAACGTGATTAGAGTGGCGACAGTCAAAACGCCCACTGGATTGTTTAAAAGAGCCGTCCAAAAACTCTGTCCACTTCCCGCAGAAGAAGACTGTTAATTTATATTTAATTTCCTTTGAAAATTGTTATTATCCATATAGCTTTCTTTAAGATTATCCTTATTGAATTTATAATTAACCCTTAGAATAGAAGATTTCACTTATACTAATTGCAATGTACTTCGCGTCAAATTTGTCATGTTATTAGTATTATTCGGTTACATTTCAGTTAGCATCATTACTTACGTGTATGTTAAGTTAAGACGGTGAAGCTTTAGATTAGGCTCACTCCCCTCTCAAGTTTATAGAATGCCAAAGTCTCTTATTCTTTAGTTTCAAGTAGGTTGAAAGATTGTCTTTCAAGGGGGGCGGAGTGTTGACGATTGTACCGCCAGAACGGCGTTAGTGAGAAGTAGTATTAAGCAATATGGCGAAATAGGAAGGGTAACGGAATAAAGCTCTGTTTAATTTGACTGGATTTTCTGTGTATCCGTTCCTCAACACCCTCTATCCAAATCTTTCCGTACTTTACCCAAGCTCTCCTTCTATTCTTTCTCTCCTTCTCAGCTATCCTCTCCAGGCTCCATTACATTTTTCTTTCCTTCAATGTCATGTCATTTTCTATTCTTTCCATCCTCCCTTTCCACACATTCTTTCTCTGCATTACTTCTCATTTTTTTACTCTATCTTTTAACCTTACTAAAACCATCTTCTTTTCTTTCCCCGTTTTTCTTCCTATCTCTTTTACCTTTTCTATTCCTCTCTCTACCTTCATCTCTAGCCATAGCTTCTCTACCGCTCTCTTTAGCCTTCCCTCCTCCACCTCTACCCTTTTCACTACTACATTGTTCCTCCTTCTATCTCTCTCTTCTAACTCTCTCCACCTTTCTAGCTCTCTTACCTTCGTTTCCATTGCTTTATCTCTTTTTCCTATCTCCCACTTTTTTTCCTCTTTCACTTCTCCCTGCCCTTCCTTCCTCTCATCTCTCTCCTTCTCTATACTATCCAGCCTTCCTTTCAACTCTCCTATCTTTTTCAATTTCTCCCTTTCCTTCTGCCATTTTACCTCTCTCTCCTCCACATCCGCCCTCATCTTCCTAATCTCATCTCTTAACATTTCTCTCTCTTTCTTGCTTTCTACCTTCTACCCCTTGCTCTTTCTGTTCTTTCCTTAATTCCCGTATTTCCTCCACCTTTTTACTCATTATCCTTATTATCTGTTTTTTCCTCTCTGGCGATATCACCATTTTCCTACTCCTTCTAAACGCCTCTTCCTTTCTCCTCTACCCCTTTCGTTCTTTTTTTAAAATAATCATCTATACTTCCCTCACTACATAAACTCGCACTTCTCTCTCTTTCTCTCCTTGTGCTAGCCACCTTACCTCTTCTACTTGTCATCTTTTTGAGTTCTTTCTCCGCTTTATCCTTCCCCTCACTTTCCTTATTCATCCCCTCTACTCTCCTTTTATCCCATGCCTTCCTCTCACCTTATTTATTCTATTGTCTCCTTTTCTCCCTATCTTGCTTCAAATTTACCGCCACCCTACTCTTTCCCCTTTTCTCTCCGAGATGTCACCACCTCTCAGCCTTTCTTACTCTTCACCCACAATGTCGCCACGGTCGCCACCTCTCAACCGCCTGCCACTTTACTTTCTCTCTAAGGTGTCCCTAACCTCTTTCTGACCACCCACCGTTACTAAATAATATCTCCTCTCTTACTCGTCCTTGCTTCTCGCCACCACTTCCACCGCCTTTGCCACTTTTCTCTTCTCTCCACCACTACTCTCCTCTCTGCTGCTACTCCTAATCTCAGTCTACGCCTTACTTTTTCGCTCACTATCGCGCTCGCTAACCACCTGTTTCCACTTCTATACCCTCTCCTTCTCCCTCTCTTATTAATTATAAATCACATATTATTTTTTTTAGACTCCCTTGTAATTTTTCAATTTTTTTCATTCTTACTTACTCTCTCTCCTTCTATTTCATTTTGTTTTATTTTGTTTGATTTACTCTCAATTAGGTTCTTTCACCACTATCTTTATGTAGTCTCCTTCCACTATCTTTATATAGTTTCCTTCATTCTCATCCATTCTGCATCATTTTTCTAATTTTATTGCATTTCACTGCTTTATCTTCTCTCATTCTCTTTTATTTTTACTTGTTCTCATTCATAATGCTTCATTTTCGCTCATTGTCTTCTCTTTATTTCTCTCATTTTTTTTTATCTTCTCTGATTCTCTCTGTTTTTTGTTCATGTCCTATTATTCAATTTTATCCCCATCTATTCCCTTAAATTCATATCCTGTCGTCTTAATTTTGTCTCTTTTCGCATTTTGCAGCCATTTTTTCCTATTCTCACTAATTCTCTCTCTCTCTCGCTCTCCCTCTTCCCCTTCTCTTTCTCTCTCCCTCTCTGCCCCCCCCCCTCTCTCTCTCCCTTCCTCCCTCCCTCCCTCCCTCCCTCTGTCTCTGTCTCTCTGCCTCTGTCTCTCTGTCTCCCTCTTCCTCTCTCTCCTTTTTTCTGCCTCTTGGCTTTTTTCTTTCCCTTTTTTTTTCTTCTTTCTATTTTTTTTTAACTTTATAATACCTTAATCATAAATAATAAAAAAATCATATATTACATAAAACACGCTGTAGCCATCTTTATCGTTGATGTGATCATGATTTATAGCATCAGTTATATCAATTATTATTGTTTAAAAATTTAAAGAAACATATTTGCTTTTTCTTGTCATACGATGAATCAACGTAAACAAATTTTTTATAAAATAGGACGGATTATATATATATATATTTTTATATATATATATGAATAAATCGAAAAACCAAATATGTTTCAAAACAAATAAAAAATAAAAAAATTAACAAATAAAGAATTTAAGAATTTCTTTCAATTTTTTGAAATCGGCGCCAAATTAATGATATTTTTAATAGCGTTTTTCATTGGCAGTGCGCACTCAGTGCACATTAAAGCCGTTGTATACTGATTTCTCTAATATTTAAAGTAAAATGCAAATATTTCGACTCTCTGATAAAATACCCAATATAGATTTTACCAAATAGTATAATAAAGAATATTGAGGATTTCGTGACTTAACCCGTTCATATTAAACATACTTTACGTTGGTTTGTGTGTACGACGGCTTTAATGTGCACAGTGCGCACCAGTTTTGCCAAAAAAAAAAAAAACACTAAGTATTTCTTTCAATTTTTTGAAGGCGACGTCAAATTGATTTAGTAATTATTAATTTGGCGCCGACTTCAAAACATTAAAAAAAATTCTTAAAATTTCTCTCTATTATTTTATACCTTTTAAAGCTTCATTTTTTAATTTTTTTTATTCTTTTTAGTTTTTTTAAAATCAGCTTTATTTAAAAAAAATTTCTTTTAATTCATACCTTTTTAGTGCGTTATTTAATTGATACGAATCAAAAATAATAATTTATTACTTGCTTGTAATTAATTTAATTATTAAGTATGTATAATTTCCTTACTGCTACGTACCCTGATGTTCTAACGCGATATTTTATGTACTAAAACTTTCCGGAGCGAGGATTGCTCTACAGTGAAAACCGCATCCATACAGTAGTTTCAGAAAAAATCGTAGACATATCCACGTACATCATACTCGCCGAATTGAGAACCTCCTTTTTGAAGTCGGTTAAAAATAAATTATATTTAATTTTTTATCATGAAATTTTTTACACGTGACTGTTATGTCACATAGAGATTGATATATAAATTTATTTAAAAAAATTGAAGAAACAATTAAAATTTTAAAAATTGCTCAAAAATTTAAAAAAATATAGAACTGACTTCAAAAAAACTAAAAAAAATAAAAAAATTCTATATTTTTTTTTACTTTTTAGAGTTTCTTTGAAGTTGGTTGGTTGGTTTTATTAAAAATTTTTTTTTATTTTATACTTTTTTAGTGCTTCATTTATTTAATATAATTAAAAAATAATATATAATCTTTTTCAAATATTATATATCTTTCTTCTTCTTTCTGCACTTTTTCAATCAGTATCTCCAATATTTTTGCAATATTTTAACCATACAGAATAATTCCATCTGTTTTTGTTACATATAAAAGTTTATTGCATTGTCTCGTATATTCTCCTTTGGTTTTAGTCTGTGTAATTCCTTACCTGTTGTCGTAATTATCCTACCTTTAGTCATTCCTCTTATAATTTTAAAAATTAATGGTGTGTAGTTCCATTTATGTTTACTTAAGCTGCGATCCATTTAACATTACAAATGCACTTCGAAGTATTCCTCTTCTCTTTTCTTTCAGTGAAGAAAAACGAAGAAGATGAAGAACGCTTCAAAGCATTTGTAGCATCAAATGGACCATAGCCTTAACATCTTGTTCCTAATCTTCTACTTTTCTTAACGTTTGACATTCGACAACTGTACTTATGTAATATGTACATACATACATACATCTATACAGGTGTTTCCTAATAAGTGGGAAGTATTGTAGTGGTAGATTCAGGACATAAAAACAATGAAAAAACATAAACATATGTCCTATTTGACCTTATTTCCGAGTTATGATCATTTCTGTGCTCCAGTAATTTACAGCTGCTTACATTCGTAGGAAGTGTTTGAAATGGTCATATTTGGTTTGTATTTGTAAACAGTACTCAAAATCTGCAGAATATTTCCCGACCTTGTTGATTTTATACATTCTATTAAGTAAATGCAAGTAAATTATTAAATGCTTCTAGCAAGAAAATAACGTTTCTAATCTTTTAACGAACTCTCGCAAACGCGCACGTAAATGTCAAACAAACATTCATGAAGATTCTTCTTATTTTAACTTCTTATTTTTGCTAGGAAAATAATTTCCGAATGAGTCAACGTATCAACCTCTGGTTTGAGCCAAATTTTTCTTATTTTATGTTTTTTCTAACGATATACAATTTAAGACGTACCATTTGAAATTTTTAGGGATTTGGAGTTCC